TTTAACCTGTAAACTGCATCATTTTGAAAGGAGAGAATGGGTTAGATAATACCGAACCCATAGAGGTGGCGCGTGCCCGACTTACGTGGCATCAACCCTCTCCACCCCGCGGAAGTAGCTGACGCCGTCGGAAGTGTTGCGCAGGTGGTGGCATTTATCGTCAATCCGGTGAGCCGTCTGCTTATCACTCAGATCCTTCTCCAGCTCGTGCTGGGAAGCTCTGTTAGCCCTGTAACACGGAGGGGGACACAGAGCTTCACGTTCAGGTCACGGTTTCCTACAAGAACGCGCGGCTGCCCTTCTGTGCTGAGATCCTCCCTTCTGACTGATCTTCTGATCTCTCCCTTTTCACACAGTGTTCAATGTCTCAATCAAAAGGAGCACTTTCTGGAGATGTCTACACATGTGCGTGATTAGAACCCTACTCCAGGCCCAGTCACAATGGCACAGGCAGTAGGATGCCACTGGGCAACACTGGAGACATGTTGGAAGGCCCTGGGTTCAGTTCCTGAGTGAACCTGAATAAGAGGGGCAAACCCATGATCAGTCTGGCTAGGAGGCTGCAGGGAGGATTGGGAATCTATCTCTTCCTCTCTCAGTTCTCTTTCTCTATCAAAAAATAAACTTTATTTATTTATTTATTTTTTAAATAAAGAACCCTACTCTTGCCCTGCCCACAGTGCCCCTTCCATGGACAAGGGTGCAGGTGGGAAGAAGAGATGTAGATAAACACGAGTCAGGTTACAGAGCCCCAGGGCTTGGACCCGGCTTCCTAACACACATAAACTGTTCCAAGGACATGGGTTAACTGTCCTTAACAGAGCCTTCAGTTCCTTCTTCCTTACATACCCTAAGCCTCTTCTATATCTTAAGTCCCCTTCTCTGCCATTCTCTGAATATAACTCTCCAATAAATAATGAAGCATGTCTAGTCAAGCCTCTCTCTATCAGTGACCTCACACTAGGGCTGAAATGTTTGTCAGGAGATATATAAACTGATGCTCAGAATTAACCACTAGGACAGGCATTAAAGAATGCTTGAAAAGAGATGAGGCATCAGTAGTCACCCAGGCTCCTGTCTCCAGCAGTCACCATGCTGGGCAGGAAGTGGCCTTGGAGAGCTCTGAGATGCACTGTCTCCCCAGCCCTGCCCTGCAGAGAGGAGACCAAACAGCTCACTACCAAAAAGACACCCCAGAGGTGGGGGGAGCTCAGGCATGGGTGACAGGTAAGCCGCACCATTACTCATGAGCTAATTCATTCAACAAATAATTACTGAGTGCCTACCACCTGCCAGGTACTGCTCTGCAAGTCTGAGATGCCTCAATGGACAAGATACCTCTGCTCTAAGGAGTGTCCTTGCATTCTACTGAGAGGAGACTGAAAATGTACCATAGGTGAGCAATTTGTGTGACTAGAAACATGACGTAACAAACTAAGCAGGAAAAAAAGGACCAGGAGTATCCATAATCAGGAGTTATCATGTAAAATAGGATGGTCAGGATAGGTCTTCCCAGGTGATAGTGAGTGGAGATGTGAAACAGACAGAATCAGATCATGAAAGGCCTTGTTGGACAATGGAGTGAGCTGGGTTTCCTCCCCCCCCCCCCCCCCCCCACCTCAGTGAAAATGGAGGCCATTGATTTACAAAGAGAACAGTCTTCAGGGGGGAAGGAAACCTCTGGGAATCCATTGTCATTACTCAGGGAGATATATGGTGGCTTGGACCAAGGGAATTATCAGTGTTAAGATTGTGGATATGATTTAAAGATAAAACCAGGAGAATCTCCAATGAGATTGGCTATCAGAGAGAGAGAGGAAAAAGCTTAAGTTGTCACTGGAGTAACAGAATTCTTTATCAACTGAGGGTGAGGAAGCTAAGGATAGGGGCTGGGAGAGAAGTCAGTTCATGAGACACTAAGCTTGAGTGTACATTAATCATCTAAGTGGAGATACCAAGTAGGTTGTTGGAATTTGGAGAGAGGTCTAGGCTGGAGACAAAAAGTTGGGAGTCATTAGCATATCGATGGTATTTGAAAAAACAAGGTGAGTGAATGATCGTAATTATTTCTCTATTCCCGGCACTTCAAAATGGTCTTGGCATAGAGAAGCCATTCAGTAAAGATTGCATTGAATGGAATGAACTAGTTCAATTCAGGTTCCCTTTAACTTGGCCTATGCCTTTGAGCAAATCACTTGACCTGTCAGAGTTAATTTTTTTTTATTCGTAAAGTATGCATGTGATATGAATTTTTTGAATTCTAAACATATGCAAAGAATGAAAAATGAAAAATCTGCCTTTCTCTGTTATTATTGCATTCAGCCTCTTGCCTTAGGTTATTATGTTGAAACTCTGGGACTAGAAGTTCCTTCTTATGTATGGTCTGGGACCAACATGTCCCATAGGCTTTTTCTCTTGAACTGACACTCTTGGCAAGCAGGGGCTGCCTGGAACCCTCTGACCTGGCCTCAGTGTCTCCTTGGGAAGGCATTTGATGCAGCACTGCATCAATCTGTCTAACAGGCCAAGATGGGAAGAATCTTGGCTGCCATGTTGGTGCTTAATGAGGTTCAATTTTCAGCTGAGATCGAAACTGAAGGCTTCATTATTTCTTCCAAAACAAGTGGAGTGGAAAAATCTTCCTCTTATCACCTTCACTGAACAGAGAATAGTGGTTCCTCATAAATCCTGGAGAAGCCATCTCAGGAAATGAGATAGGCAGTTTTGCCCATTGTCCTATTAAAGAAAAGCCAACTTCCTTAAAGGATCAGCAACAAAGATTTGAAACAAGTGTACATACGTAGAACTTTCTACAGAGACTTGCAATACAGCCTACGATGAGGCAGTTTGTAATGACTTACACAAAGATATGGCTGTTCCAAGGTAGAATAATCAAGACCAAGAAGAATCAAGGACATGAAAGGTGAGCAGCAGAGTTTAGATTATAAAAGAAAATGAGAAATTGGAACTAGACCAGAAGAAAACAGAACAGAAACAATTCATAAAATCACACTAAACTGTGTTTCTACAATTTCTAGGGAGCAGAAATCAGAAGTTAATATCAGAACTTCATCATCTTGTATTTATTAATAGTTATTTTTAATTTTACATCATTTATTTATTTATTTTAATTTGACCAGGCATGGGTGATAGAGCAAATAAGTGAAAGAGAGAGAGAGGGAGAGAGAGAGAGAGACAAGAAAACAAACTGCCAGGTCAGGGACTTGAACCATGGTTGGCCATGTGGGAGCGCTGTTAGCCATCATGTCACCTGTTGACCCCCAACTGTCTTGTATTTATAACTTAAGCAAACTGTACAGTTAGCCAGACCATGTACGGTCAGTGATTCTCAGCTGTCTCTCTCACCAATTTCTAAGTGTAAAACCTTTCTAATGACAGCTCCACATTAAACTGTTCTCCACCACCACAGTGTTGATACTGATGTGTAGGGTAGGGAAACTAAGCAGGCAGTTCTTTCTTAACGTTCCATCCTGTAGGTTTATCACACAGTATCTCAGACAACATTAGCCTATGCGTAACCACCATTTCTTCTGGGTAGCATATTCAACACTACTTCTTTCCATGGCCATAACCAAAGGAATATTTATTTAGATCTCTTCATGTTAGACAACAGGCTCAGCCAGTATGTTTCCTGTGCTGATGGCTGTTATCCTTACTTGAGATCTTCCTTTGATATTATTTATTCTCTTCCCACCCACCCCCCACACCAAAAATGTTAAGCAACTACTATTGCCAAGAAAAGAAACCCAGTGCCCTTCAGGAAGTTGTATACTGGTGGGGAGCAGGATGAGTAAACCATTTCAATGCAAGGGATGCAGTGAAAGCTGCCAAAGTATAATCAGGGAAAGCTGTCTTTAAGGAGGAATAGAAAGTAAACTTGTGGGGCCAGCAGGAGGCATAGTGGTCGGGGTGCTGGATTCCCACATGGCCAACCAGGATTTGAGTCCTGGACCTGAGGCTTGAAACTCATGCCAGAGTGTGTGTGCGTGAACCCAGAATCCCAGGAGAAGAATGGAGAAGGGATTGCAGTGTGACCATCCCCCCTGGGAGATGAGTTCTCACTTTCTCCCTCTGTTTCTCTGGTGAGCACATGCACCCAACAGCAAAAACCTTAATAAATAAAAAATATTTTAAAAACAAAGAAAATAAAACATGCAAGAAGTGAAGCACAATTCATTACTTTGCCAACAGTTAGGGCTGAATATATACAAGTTCATTCTCTTATCAAAGAATAAAAGTCTTTTGAGTGAAAAGAAATCTGATCTCTACTCCAAGTAAGGGCAGAAATCCTTTTCCCCACATCTCAGAATTATTTCTTTAAATGAAAAGTTAAAGCATATGCTTCATGCCATGGTTTGAATGTCCTCCCAGAATTCACGTGCTAAGATCTAACTGTGATGGGATCGAAAGGGTGAAGACTTAATCAGACTATGGAGTTGAAAGGGGGAGCCTTTGGGAGGCGATTAGGATTCAGGTCATTAGGGAGGGTGCCTATGAATGAAGCTTGGTGTGTTTTGAAGAAGAGGGACTATGACAGAGACACACAGACACAGACACACGTGCTCCTGCCCTCCATCGTGTTGTAATGCAACCAGAAGATCCTCGCTAGATATAGCCCCTAGACCTTGGACCTCCAAACTGTGAGCTGAATAAACTCCTATTCTTAAAAAATCAGCTTTATGTATTTTCTGTTATTAGCAACAGAATGAACAAAATACTCCAAACACGCATCTTAACTTTTGAATTAAAATATGTGTGTGTGCTCCCATGTGCTTGCCTCCCGGTGAGTGTGTAGGTGTGTGTGTATCCTTCTAAGAAGTGAAGAGGAATCTGAATTGGAGAGATGAAATTATATTTCGAGGACAGGTCTTAAATTGTATAGAGAAGTAAAGCTCTTACGCAAGTTGGGCAATAGCCTTATCCAAATGGAGCTTCATTCTTTCTTGACAACACAGAATAATATCAACTTCCTACTCAATTGAAAAACAAAAAACACATTAATGTTTTCATTATTGAATACAAAATCGGAAGTTAGCAATGCAACGAAACAACAATGAAGGAAAAATTTATTTCTTCAAAACCTAAAGTTAAACAGGAAAACAATTTTCTATCCATTTATTTACCTCTATCCCCCCATGATACTTGCAATTTAAATATTGGACTGAGATAGATCCTTCATAGGGCTACAGGGAAATTATATTGCCCAACAAGTTGAGATTAAAATGTTAGAGTCCCTTTCTCTTTTTATCTTTGTCCTTAAAAAAGTAGAGCAAAATTCTGCTAATGTGCAAGATCAAATTTTAACACATGCCTTCTTCTATAATATCTGTTCTTTCCAGGCAAAATAGATTAGGGAGAGGAAAAACGAGCAGCTGAAAGGAGCTTCTCTCTGGCAGTGCAATTAACCTCCAATAAACTCAGCTCTTTGGCCCAAATATGGAGTCTAGCCTCCACCTTGGAAGTCAGCCTCCACTCTGTTGTCTGTGCACTGCAGCTTGCTACCAAACTTGTTCTACCGTGAATGTCAGCCAGGCCTCTCTATTTCACTACACACATGGTGGTTTGATGCTGCCAGGAGAGGCATGCACTATTACAGATGTTGTATCAAAGATTTTTAAATAAACATTTCTTTCTCTCTGAAATTCACATCCCCATTAGAAAGTTCAGCAACTCAAACAGTTAAAAGCATACACAATAACTGTTATCAATTTCTCGGGCAAAAAGCGATCACACTACACATGCTATTTTGTGGCATTTTCAACTTGAACATTTTCCCATGAAATGAAACAACCCTGTGACGAACAGCCTCCATAAATGTTTAGATACCACCAAAAGGTATGTCTTTTTCTTAAGGTTTTGACAAGTACAGCCAAATGGCCCTTCGGAAAAGTCGTGCCTATTTACAGCGATGAATATATTTCTTTGCCTTGCACACCAAGGGACCACCAGGACTCCTCTCGATCTTTGCCAAAGTGATAGACTCCACAACTCCTCACCTCCCCAAAAAACACCAAACCTGCTTGAATCCGCAGACTAGTATTGTGTTTGTTCATCACGTGACTTTCTTCTGTGGACTGTCTGTTCGTGCGCTTGTCTACTTCTGTTCTTTTTTCTTATTAATTTATAAGGGTTCTTAACATGTTTAAAATTTAGCCCTTTCCTGTTATATATATTACAAATCTATTTCTTTATCACCAGTTTGGCCCTTGCCTTTGCATTTTGTGCATGGTGCTTTTCACACACTTATGATTTCAAATCTATCAAATCCCTTTGGTTTGTGCCTTTGTTGTGTTGATGACAAAAGACCTTTTTTACTCTAATTTCTATGGTCTCATCTATATCATCTTTTTCCTCTTTTATTGTTTAACATTGAAACTATCGAATATGCCTAAAGTGATAATTCTATTGTCTGATTGTTGGATGCTCAGAATTAATAAGTAAATAAAGAACTAAATTCCCTTGGGACCAGCAGTTAGCGTAATGGCTATGTCGCTGGACTCCCATGTAGTCGACCGTGGG